GCTCTCTTCCTGTCCCAGCTTCCTGAATGCTGAGATTATAGGCAGGCACCATCATGCCTGGGATCACTGGCTATTTTGGTTTTTTGAGACAGGGCCTCGCTATGTAGTTCAGGCTGACCTTCACTCATGGCAACCTTCCCACCTCAGCCTCCCAAGTGCTGGGATTATAAGTATGCATCAGTACACTTAGATTTTACTATGTAGTTCAGGCTGGTTTTGAACTGATTTTTTAGCCCAGCCTAACCCTGAACTCACAATGATCCATGATATCCTTGTTGGAATTATAGGTGCTACCAGTGCCAGCCTAACATTGGCTATTTTTATTTATTTTTTTGAGACAGTCTTTTTTAATTTTCTCTCTTTTTTTGAGACAGGATTTTGCTATGCAGTTTAGGCTGGCCTTGAGCTCACTTTGTAGCCCAGGCTGGTCTGGAATTTGCAACAATTCTCCTGCCTCTGCCTCCCAAGTTCTAGGATTACAGGCATGTGCCACCACACCTGGCTCTGAGAGACAGTGTCTTGTTATGCAATTCAGACTGGCCTTGAACCCAGTATGGAGTTCAGGCTGGCCTCTAACCCATGGCAGTCTTTCTGCCTCAGCCTTCTAAATTACAGGTGTGTACCATTACACCTGGTCTAACATTGGATTTTTTTTTTTTGATATTGGGATCAAACTCATGACTTCGTATTTGCCAGACAGGTGTTTATGTGACTGAGCTATATTCCCAGCCCTTTATTAGCTACTTTTTAAATTTTTATTTATTTTTTTAGCCGTACCAGGGATCGAACTCAGGACCACCTGCTTGCAAGTCAGGTGCTTATGGTGCTGAGCTAAATCCCCAGCCCCTCATTAGCTATTTTTAAAAACAAAAACTTTCTAAAAAATTTTTGATACTAGGGATTGAATTCACAACCTGACACTTGCCAGGCAGGCACTTATGTTACTGAGCTAAATCCTCAACCTTAAAAACAAATTTTAATCTATTATTTTTTTTTTGTCTTTTTCCTTTTTATCAGGATCGAACTCACGACTGCCTGCTTGCAAGGCAGGCGCTTATGCTGCTGAGCTAAATCCCCAGCCCCTAATCTATTATTTTTGACCAGTGGCAAAGTTTATTTGAAAAAATAAAAGTGAATCATAAGGGAGAAACTGGCTCTGCAGAATGATTTTGGGCCAAGTAAAATAGAAAAAGCAAGACAAAAGTGTGCCCTGGAGGACAGAGTAGACTATTGTGAGAAAAACCATGATAACCCTAATCTATATTTTTGAGACAGGATCTCCCTAATATAGTCCAGGTTGGCTTTGAACTCACTATGTAGTACAGGCTTCCTTGAATTTGTGGTGATTATCCTTTCCCAGCCTCTTGAAGGCTGGAATCACAGGTATGCATTACCACACCCAGTTAACCTTAATTTTTTTTTTTTTTTTGAGATGAGTCTCTCATAGAACCCTAACCTTTTTTTTTTTTTTAATTTATTTTTTGGTCTTCTTCCTTTTTATCGGTACCGGGGATCAAACTCTCAAACTCACGACTGCCTGCTTGCAAGGCAGGCGCTTATGCCGCTGAGCTAAATCCCCAGCCCCCACCCCTACCTATCGTTAAGGAAAAAAGAAAAAAGAGACAGTCGTAAACTTTACATGCTCTCATCTGGGCATGGTGATGTATGCCTGTAATCCCAGCTCTCAAGAAGCTGAGGCAGAATTGTTGCAAGTTTGAGGCCAGCCTGGGCTCCATAGTGAGTTCAAGGCCAGCCTGGACTGCATAGTGAGACCACGTCTCAGAAAACAAAAAACAAAAATCAGGGCTAGAGATTTAGCTCAGTGGCTCAAGCACTTGCCTAGTAAGGGTGAAGTCCTGAGTTCAAGCCCTGATACCAAAATAAAACAAAATAAAAACAAAACAGAACCAAAACTTTACATACTCTGAAGCACCCCATTAGACTTTCTCACTGTATAGTATTTTGTCTGCACTGCTGAAACCCTTCAAAGTCACAACATTCATGGATGTTCTTTCTGTAACTGTTCTCCCCTGCTCTGGCTTGGGAAGCTCTGCCTTCCATGGTTCCTGGACAAAAGAGTGACATCAGTGTCCTGCCAATAGATTCTCTCCTGCAAAAGGGAGCCCTTGGTGGTGGGTCAGATAAACTAGGGAAAAGGTTCTGGCTGCTTTTTAGAAATACCTATTGAGCTAGACACTGAAAAACTCTGGAAAAAGAAGATGATAACAAGACAGGGTGTGGTCCCTGCTCTTCTGTAGTTCATGGACATGTTCCAGGTTGCTTCTTCAGGCTAAGCAATTCACTTTCTCTGTCTCACTCACTTTCTAGAGAGGCCCATTCATTAACTCAGTATTTACTTAGCATCAACTGTAGATTAGGTAGTACCTGAGCCCTGAGGGTATAACAGTAAATAAATGAAATTAAAAATTTTTGGTTTGATGAAACTTTTAAAAAAAATTGTTATTATTACTATTTTTTTGTTTTGGTTTTTTGAGACAGTCTCCCTATGCAGTTCAGGCTGGCCTTGAACTCACTTTGTAGCCCCCAATGGCCTCAAATTCACAGCGATCCTCCTGCCTCAGTTCCCTGAATGCTGGGATTACAGGCATGCGTCACCACACCAGGTTTGATGATACTCTTTTTTTTTTCTTTAATTGGTACCGGGGATCAAACTCAGAACCAGTGCTTTGCAAGGCAGGCGCTTATGCTGCTGAGCTAAATCTCCAGCCCCTGATGATACACTAATCTATAATTTACTTTCTGGTGGCAAATGTTTAGGATAAAAGCAAAGTAAGAAAGGGGGATTTGAAGCCCAGGCTGCTTATGTATATGTGTGTGGGTTCTGTGAGAGGAAGAGGGTTGGATTACATTTAAATTGAGACCTGAAGGAAGGGAGCCACAGGATTCCATGGAGCACAAACCACAGATTCTCTGCCTGGAACGTTTCTATGATCTATGGCAGCTGGGAAAAACAATATAAAGTTAATTGTACTGTTTAGGAGAAAGTTTTCTTAGCTTTAATAGTCTATAGATAGGTGTTTTCAGTAAATTATACATAAGACTATTAACAAGAACAAGATCATATATCAGCATTATAAACGTCTATAAAACTACACAGTATGATTAGGAAATATGATAATGTTCAATTTAAGGGCTAATTGTCCACGGTGTATGAAATCAGAAAAATTGCAGTTAATCCCCACCGCAAAGGGAAAAACCCCGAAGCTTTGGCTTGGGGGTTCACTTGGGGTGTTTTTTTTTTTGTCTTTTTCCTTTTTATCGGTACCGGAGATCGAACTCAGGACCGCCGCCGCAGAGCTAAATCCCCAGCCCCCCGACTTGGGGTGTTTTTGTTTTGTTTTGTCGTAAGCAGGGTACTTGTGGGTGTAAAAATTATGTCCACTGGGAAGCCATATGATGTTGCAGAGAATTCATTTGCAAACCCATGAGTTATTCCTAAACTGATGGGGCCTAAACTTTTGGATTTCACTGTCACGTAAGACCTAGTTCTAGGACCTGGGAGATAAACAACAGCAAACAGTCGGTTGTGTTGTTTGTATTCTATCTCGACCCAGGAATTCGAGAGTGACCCAAGAGGAGATCTTTGAACACCCATTTGGATTGTGCGTGTGGGAGGGGAATCAGGTTAAAGTAGGTTAGGGCTGGAGAGCCGAGTAACGGAATCCTTCTGCGCCTCCGGATGTCACATGCAGGGACTTTGCCAGGAGCGCGCGCACCCTGCCGACCATCTCGCTAGACAAGGGTGCTGCCCTAACCCCGAAAGCTTGTAACGCGCCCCCATTCCGCATGTCTGCTCAGGAGAAAGAAGGCCTGGACGCTGCTACTTGTCTAGTGGTGCAAAATGGAGAACGCGCCCTGTGCCCAAGGGGGTCCAAGCACCGCGCACTCTTGTGCCCAGTATTTTATTATGCGCATATCAGCGCCAAGCAGGGCTGCCCGCGCAGCAGGCTCATCCAGCGCTCCTCCCGGAAGCGGTGCACGGAGCCGAGAACTTCAGATTCCCAGGCTAGCGTTTCGCTGGCCTCCAGCACAGCTTGGAGACAAAGAGATGCACCCCTGCGGCTCCCGGGGCGGAGGGTCCGCCCAAGAGTCGAAGCTTCGGCGGGGTTGAGCCACCACTCTTCTGCCCCAGGGGGCGCTGCCGCGTGGGCGCCCGTCCCGCCCCGCCCCGCCCCGCGCTGCCCCGCCCCGCCCCGCCGCGCAGCCTGCGCCTCTCCTCAGAGGTCCCTCCCCCTCACCGCCCTCCCTCCTCCCCCGCCCTCCCCGCCGGTGGTAGGCGCCGGAAGTGCCGCCATTTTGGGGTGTTCTGCTCCAGCGGCGGCGGCGGCGGCGGGACGCGGAGGCTCCCCTGGGACTTTGCCTCAGCAGCGAGGCGGCGGCTGCGGAGGCGCAGGCAGCAGCTGACGCGGCGGCGGGCTCAGGTGCAGCCGCTGGTGAGTGCGGCGGCCGTGGGATAACGGGCCGCGGGGCCGAGGGAGGAGGGAGGCAGAGGGAAAGGGAGGGAAAGGAGGTGGAGGGAAGCGCCGCGGGGCGGGTCCGGTGTGGGCGGCCGCGGGTCACAGGCCCTCGGGGCGCGGTCGCAGCGCTCTCCGGGCGCCCCAAGGCGAGACCTCGGTTGCCTCCCGGGCCGGGGTCTCGGCGCCCAGGGTCCTGTCGCGAGCGCGCGCCCGGGGAGACCCGCCCTCCTCGTGGCCCGGCGCCCGCTGCCAGGCCAGGGTCCCGGCCGGCCCGGGCGCTGCGTCCCCTGCCCCAGGTGTCCCAGTCTTCTTTCGCCCCCCCCCCCTCCGCTGCCCTGCCCGAACCAGCCCGCCGGCCTGGGAGGCTCCTGCGCTGACCCCTTCGTCCCACGTGTTCCGGGTGCCCATCGCGGGGCGCCCCGGGGTCCCCGCCTCTAGAGGGCAGCGCTCCTCCCGAGTCTGGGGAGCCCCCCGCGCCTCGCCCCAGCCCTGCGGCGCCTAGCGCGCCCTCCTCCCTCACGTCAGGTGCTCACCCCGTCACCGCCGCACCCCGGGGCGCGGCCTGGACCAGGCTTTGCATTTCTGAGGTCTGGGGTGTCGGGGTAGTGGTCCTCCGGTAGGATCCTCGGCACTGGCTCCGAGCGTGCCAATGCTTCTGACAGCTGCGGGCTTCTTCCCGAGGTGGAGGGGAGGCAAGGTGGCGAGGTTTCCGCGAGAGCTTGTTTCCAGCAAAATTGCAATCGCTTTCCGGCCAGTGGAGCTAGCGCTGCGCGTTTGTGACCGAGTAACGAAGGTTGTCTGAGTGCTTGGGTGCTTTACAGTCCGTGCTGTAAGTGGTCGCGAATGCCCTGCCTCCTCTGTCTGGAACTCACCTCCTGAAGCCTTTTCCCCTCCCATGGTGTTTGTCTGTCCTAAGGCTTTCAGTGCGTACTTCATCCTTTTCCACGCGTGTAGGATGCTTGTTTCAGTTTCTTTGTAGATCCTTGGTGAGAATGAAGGTGTCTCAGTGGTCACCACAGGCTCCTTAGGTTTTACGGTTCAGAGGTCCGCTTGGAAAATCTCCGAGTTGTTAGCACGGAGTACGCAAAGTGTTGCTACAGACTTTCTGTCCCCGTGCCGCTTCTCTTCTGGCTTCATGGAATGCCACATGGTCTCCCAACACGACTTCGGCAGGACCGCTGCCGCGCTGCTAGTTAAGCAGAGCTGCGGCTCTCAGCTGTTGCTTTACCATAAAGCCTAGGGTTCCCCTAGCGGAGACCGCGCCGCACCGGCCACCACCTGTTCCATGACGAGGCTGTGGCCCTGGCTCGGGCCTTCTGCTCCCGCCAGCATTTGTGCCTGCTGTCAGGGCTCCTCCTTAGATTCGATCTCGGCTTGAGATCGTCCGCGGCCAGGGGCGCTTAGACGCTTTTCTCGTGGCTTGCTTTTCAGAGGAGGAAATCCAGGCTCTCAGAAGTTAAGGGCTTGCCCGCCCAGGCATCCGTGGCAAGTGCTATTAAGTCTCCAGGCTCTTAGGAGAAGTTCGGTTTGCCTTTTTTTTTTTTTTTTTTTTTTTTTAACGATATCATGAGCAGTAAAGCCAGTTGCCCTTTGAGAGAGAACCCTGGGTTTAAAGTTAGAAGGTCTGCATTGTAATCTTTGCTCTCTGTCAGGTACTAGTTACACAACCTCGACGGAATCATTTAGTTTATTTTAATCTGCAAAATGGAGAAAATGGTGTCTGTCTTGCACAGCGGCAGCTCCCCTTGCATGCAGTAACATGTGAAAGTATGATAGGCAGACGGTGAAATTGGGAGCCATAGTGGCTTATTTTTCTAAAAATTTCCATTTATTGTTACAGAAGCTACAGATTCATTGTGCAAAATACGGAGAAGTTAAAAGAACAAAATTTACAGTCCTCAGTCAGATGATTGTTGGTATTTGAATGTCATCTTGTTCGTCTTTTGTTAATGCTGTACAAGTGTTGGTTATTTACCAAAATAAGATTGACCTAGTCAGTTTGGTGATGTTTCTAAGATTGACTTGTTTTTTTGGTAGGGAGGATTGAACTCACGACCTTGTGTTGGCTTGAGCCACTGAGCTAAATCCTCAGCTAAGATTAGTTTTGTTTTTTAAATTTAAGTTTTAGTAGTGCATGTTCGCAGTATACACTTGATTACATTCTTTGTGTGGAATTGGTCCATTCACATAACATATCCTAATTCTTTTTTAGTCCTCTTCCCTCTTGTTTCTTGGTCTTCCTTTTGTTTTTAAGGTGTAATAGGTACTTGACTTTTTTTTTTCTTCTGTACTTAATTTCACTTGAGCTAGTCTAGTGGGTATCTCAGCACAAATACAGTGAAATAGTTCTTTTAAGCATATGGTCTGGAAGAGAGGGAAAAGATGGCAAAGAGTCAGCAGTTCCTGTGTGTTGCATTGTCGATTTTTTTTTTTTTTTTTTTTTTTTTTTTGTTTTGGGAACAGGGCATGGTGGTGAACACCTGTAATCCCAGCACTTGGGACATTAGCAGGAGGATCCTTTCGAGGTTAGGGCCATCCTGGGCTACAGAGCAAGACCCTGTCTTAAAGAGGGAGGTGGCGGGGGAGGGAGGGGATGGGGGGAATGGGGGGGATGAGGGAAAGAAAAAGTTGGGATAGCTGCTAAACGTGGAGTGTAAGTCCTGAGTTTTGTTACCCTTCCTTTTCTCTACTGCACCTAGACCTCTGGAGCTGCAGTTTCTGGGGAGGTGACCTAAGGAGGGGAGTGGGCTGTAAGAGGTAATGGTGGGGTCCTTGTCAGGAGAAGTGCAGTATCAGGCTGAGGAGGAGGAGGGGCACAGGCTCCTGCTCAGTATTGGGCTGTTCAACAGATGACTGCAAGGGTTTTTCCTGTTGTTGCTTTTTTTGTGTGTGTGTTTTCAAGAATAGAGTTTTCATTACATAGTTCAGGCTGACTTGAGCTCACTTTGTAGCCCGGCTAGCCTTGAACTTGCAAGGATCATTTTGCCTCAGCCTCCCACCGCACCCTGCAGATGATGACTTCATTCTTATTTAAGCAGTGCATTGGAGTTGTTTAAGCTCTTTTCCCTTTTTATTTTATTTAGCTTTTTTTTTCTTTTTGTACCAGAGATTGAACTCAATGTGCTTGCCAAGCAGGGGCTTATGCTGCTGACCAAAACCCCCAGCTTAATTTATTTTTGAATTAAGTTTATTGGTACATTTAATTTATTTTTTTGTACTAGGAATCAAACTAAGGACTTCACAAGCCAGGCAGGCATGACACCACAGCTAAATTCTGGGCCCACTGGCACCTTTTAGATTTACTTAATGATCACATTCATCTTTTCCCTGCATTTTTACAAAGAGCTTTATTAAGACATAATTTATGTACTTATATGATTCACTCATTGAAGGTGTAAAATTTGATGGTTTCTGGTATATTGTTAATTAGAAAAAATGTTAGACTGGGAGTAGCTCAGAGTGCTTACCTACATATATAAAGTCCTACTTTTGATCTTCAGCACTGCAAAAACAAACAGTAACAAAATGTGTCTAAACAAGATGGCACTTCGTAGTTCAGGTGGGCCTTGAACATACTACATAGCTCAGGCTGCCCTTGAACTCTAGGAAATCCTCTTGCCTCAGCTTCCCAATTCCCAGTAACCCTTTACCTATGCTTGCTTTGTTAAAAAATTAGTTTCTTAAAAATTTATTTCTGTGATTTGTCTTCAGTCTCCAGAGTGCTAGGATTTCAAGGGTATGCTACCATGTCTGGCAGTATTTATTTTGAGATTGAATCTCCCCATGTTTCCCAGGCTGGACTAGAACTTCTGGGCTCAGGTGATCTTTATGACTCAGCTTTTTGAGTAGCCAGACTACCGGCACACATCCCACGTCAGATTGCTCCTAAAAAATTTTCATAGTGATAGAAACACAACAAATTTACCATCTTAACCATTTTTAGGTGTACAGTTCTGTAGCATTAAGCACATTCACATTTTTTGGGAAATTGATTTCCAGAAGTCTGGAAGTGTCTTGTATACATGAAACTTCATTCATTAAAGAACTCTTTCAATGGAGTGTGGTGGCGCACACCTATAACCTTAGCACTCAGGAAGCTGAGGCAGAAGGATCGACACAAGTCAATCACTTTGGACTACATAATGAGTTCAGTCAGCCTGGAATACATAGTGAGAACCTATCTTAAAAACAAAGCAGAACTTTCCTTTTTTCTCTTCTCTTCAACGTAGGGATTGTACTCACAGCCTTAAACTCATACTCACTCTCTTTCTTTCTCTCTCTCTCTCTCGTCTTTTTGAGACAGGATCTTGCTATGCAGTTCAGGCTGGCCTTGAGCTCACTTTGTAGCCCATGCTGGTCTGGAACTTGCAACAGTCCTCCTGCCTCAGCCTTCTGAGTGCAGGGATTACAGACATGTACCACCATGCCTAGTGCACGTGCCTGGTACCCTTTACCACTGAGCTACACCCCCATTCCCCACTTTCTTTGTATAGTACTGGGATTGAACATGGAGTGTGCCAAGATAACTCCAATTCCTTTTTCAAAAGAAGTTAATTTTTGGGTACTGGGATTGAATCAAGGCTTTCTAGTGGACTAGATCCCCAGCAACTCACCTCTCTTTTCTGAGACAAGGTTTCACCAAAGTAAATAAAAGTCCAGGAAGAACTTGAACTTGGGATCTTCTTGTCTTAGCCTTTCAGTGTGCTGGGATTAGAGGAACACTTTTCTAGGTGGTTTGTTGTTGTTTTTCCTTCTGTGGGCTACTAGGGATAGAACCTAGGGAGTAGTGAACTGTATTCTGCAACTCTTTATTTTTTGAGACAGAATCTCACTAAGTTGCTCAAGCTGGCCTTGAACATGCTAACTATCCTCTTTCCTCAGCCTCCTGAATAGTTAGTGTTACAGTATGTGCCATTATACTCAACTGTACCTACATTTTGTTTATGACCAGTCAGGTGTGGCATTTTCTCCTTGTGGTATCATGGTGGTACTTAAGAAATTTAAATTATAAATGTATTGTGGTAGTGCTTGTCTGTAATTTCAGTCCTGAGGGAGGCTGAGGCAGGAGAATCAAAAACTCGAGTTCCACCCAGGCAATTTAGGGAGACACTTTCTTAAAAAAAAAAAAAAAAAAAAAAAAAAAAAAAAAAGCCTAGAGATATATAGCTGAGTGGTTCAAACCTGATCCCTCCCCAAAAAGATTAAATTTTATAGCATTTTGGGTTTCTGAGTAGAGCTGTTCAACTTCATGTATATACCTGAAAGTGGGACTGCCAGGTCTTACGGTAATTCTACTTGAAGAACACTTCAGGCTGCTTTTTATAGTGTTTGTACCACTTTACAGTCTTGATAAATGTGCACAAGTTTGTTTCTCCCATACTTTATAATGTTTGTTTCCTCTTTCTCCTCCTCTTTTCTGGTTTTTGAGGGAAAGTCTCACCATGTAGTCCATGCTGCTCTTGACCTCAGGATGATCCTCAGCTTTTCCCCAGTGCTGGGATTCCAGTTATGTACCACTGTGCCCAACCCTTTGCCCATTTTTAAATCAGGTTATTTGGGCTGGGAATGTAGCTCAGTGGTGGAGCACTTGCCTAGCATATTCAAAACCCTGAGTTTGATTCCCATCACTGAAAAATACATAGATTTTATTTTTTCGTCTTTTTTTTTTTTTTTTGGTACTGGGGATCGAACTCACGACCACATACTTGCAAGGCAGGTGCTTATGCCGCTGAGCTAAATCCCCAGCCCCATAGATTTTATTTTTTAAGTTGTTATAAGAGTTCTTATTTTCTGGGCATTAGCCTCTTATTAGATGTATGATTTTCAAAT